GTCTAAATTGGCCCTAGTATGTGTATGTATGAATGTGAGTTAGCGACCTTAGATTGTACACCCCTTGAGGGTTAGGGATTGATGTGAATGTACAATATATGTATGTAAAGCACTGCATAAATTGACGGCACTATATAAGTACCTGAAATAAATAAATAAAATGAAAAGAAATTAGAAGAAATAGCCTAATAGGAGAGTACTGAGAACTTTTGGCCTGGCAGGCAAGCGCATCCACCAGGCCCTTTTCATGGTAGGGATAGTAGCCTGTGGGCTAAAAATGTGCAAAAAACAGAAAATATATGCCACAATGACCAGTAAAAGATGAAGGTGAATGTTGTCTTAGAAGACACAATTCTTTTTACATATCCTGCTAAAAATGGGGGAAAAGTCATAAATGAGGATGCTGCTCTGTGAAAATTATGTGTACTCACCTAAATAAAATACAATGCCATCATTACAAATAATCCCTTCACACCACCTCTTGGCTGCAATTGGCTCTCACAATGGTTACACAATTGGGAGCCCGTCCTGTTGGACCATGAACTGTCAGAAGCCGTAACCATGAACTTTCAAATACAAGCTTCACATCAGTTGCCACTGACTGCAGATCTCACTCTTATTGAGATCCGAAAGGGATGTATCTGCACCAGTTCCACATATATTATACTGTATATCAGCCCTCGAAATTTCCACTTGCCCACTCGCATTGGGCGAGTAGAAATACGGTGGGGGCAAGCAGCACCGGGACTAGGGGTGTGTGGAAGGGGCAGTGGTGGGGGGCAGTGACAAGCAGTGATCTCCTGTATGACTTTCAAAGAAGCAGCTGAAAGCTGCAGGAGGGAGAGGAGTAGAAGCGGCTTCCAGCCACGATTCCCACCCCTCCCACCCTCCCTCTCTTTCAACCACCCCCCTCCCACCCTTCCCCCCCCCCCCCCCCTCCCTCTTCCACCCACCCCCCACCCATCCCCCCCCCCCCCCTTCCTTCCACCCTTCCCCCTACTCCCCCCCCTCTCCCCTCCCTTCCCCCCCTTCCCCCCTTCCATCCACCCTTCCTTCCCACCCCCTCCTTCCATCCTCCCTTCCCCTTCCCCCCCCCCCCTTCCTCCCTCCCTGCTTCTTCCACCCATCCCTTCCTTCCTTCCCCCCCCTATCCCCCCCCCCCCCCTCTTCCCCCCCTCCCTTCCACGCCCCCTTCCCCACCCCCTTTCCACCCCCCCCCCCCCTTCCATCCCCCCCCCCCTCTCTCCCCCCCCCATCCCTTCCCAATCCCTCCCACCCCTCCCTCCCCCCCCCCCCACCCCTCCCTCCCCCCCCCCCCCCCCCCCTTCCCATCCCCCCATTCCTTCCCCTCCACCCTTCCCCACCCCCCCCCCCCTCCCCCCCCTCCCCCTTCCCACCCCCCTCCCCTTCCCCCTCCCCCCCCCCCCCTTCACCCCCCCTTCCCTCCCCCCCCCCTCCTTCCCCCCCTCCCCCCCCCCTTTCCCCCCCCCCCCCCTCCCCCCTTTCCTCCCCCCCCCACCCCCCCCCCACCCTTCCCTTTCACCCCCCCTCCCTTCCACCCCTCCCCCCCCCCCCACCTCCCCCCCCCCTTTCCACCCCCCCCCCTCCCCCCCCCCCCCTTCTGTCCACCTCCCTCCCCCCTCCCCCCCACCTTCCCCCCCTCCCCCCTCCCCCCCTTCCCCCCCCCCCCACCCTCTTCCCCCTCCCTTCCTTCCCCCCCTTCCCACGCCCCCTCCCTCCCCCCCTCCCTTCCTCCCCCCTCCCTCCCTCCCCCCTCCACCCCCCCCCCCCCCCTCCCCCCCCCCTCCCCCCCCTCCTCCCCCCCCCCCTCCCTTCCCCCACCCCCCTTCCCCCCCTTTTTTCCCCCCCTCCCCCCCCTTCCTTCCCCCTTCCTTTCCACCCCTCCTTCCCTCCCCCCTCCCCTCCCTCCTCCCCCCTTCCTTTCACCCCTCCCTTCCTTTCCACCCCCCTCCTCCCCCCTTTCCCACCCCCCCCTTCCTCCCTCCCACCTTCCCCCCCCATTCCACCCCCTTCCTCCACCCCCCCTCCCTCCTTCCTTCCTTCAACCCCTTCCTTCCCTTTCCACCTTTACCCCTTCCTTCCTTCCAACCCTCCCCCCCTTCCACCCCTCCTCTCCCCCCTTCCCTCCCCCCCTCCCCCCCCCCTCACTCTTCCTTCCACCTTTCCACTTCCATTCCCCCTCTCCATCCACCCTTCCTTCCCCCCCCCTTCCACCCCTCTCCCTTCCTTTTACCTTCCTTCCTTCCTTCCAACCCTCCCTCCCCACTCCATTCCTCCTCCTCCCTTCCTTTCACTTCCATTCCTTCCATCCCCCTTCCTTCCCACCCCTTCCTTCCACCTCCCTCCTTCCCTTCCTTCCAACCCTCCCTCCATTCCTCCTCCTTCCCCTTCCATTCCTCCCTCCCTCCCTCCCTCCCTCCCACCCTTCCTTCCCTCCCCTTCCTTCCCACCCATTCTTTCCTTCCACCCTTCCATTCCTTCCTTCTACTCCTCCCTCCCTTCCTTTCTCCTCTCCCTTCCTTCCACTCCTCCCTCCTACCCTTCCTTCCCATACCTCTCTCCCTCCCTTCCTAGATGATGTTACTCCAGTGCATGTGCAGGAGTTCATTTGTCCTGGCACACAGGCACCCTGTCAAGAATATAAACTGAGCTGTGTACATCCTACAGAATAATACAGACAGCCAGGTAAGCATGTAAGAAGTAACAGAATAATACAGACAGCCAGGTAAGCATGTAAGAAGTGACATGCTTGCAATTTTTGTACCTTTAGTTCCACTTGAAAGTGGAAATAAAACAACTTATTTTTTTCTGAAACAGTTACATTCAAATCATAACTTTCCAGCTCTCATATTGTTGGTGTCATTGCTCATCATATGTGTAGCACCATGGCAACTGCAGATCTAAGAGGCTAAGGTTATATGTAGTATGCACACAAGGCATTTAGTTCTAGCATTATTGTGCACCTGGGAGGCACAGATGCAACATCCAGCCCCGCTGCCTGCAGTCTGTAAAAAAGTATATGAAAGAGAGAAACACTCTGTGGCTGGATGCTTTACCAAATGGTACTCACATAGGTCCTCGTGTGTTCAGGGATGTATGCCCAGAACGCAGAATACATTTAAATCAGTGGATGTAGTTCCTTGTTAACCATTCCTACTCTTGAGCTCATTCACACCAGACTGCGTGCTAAAATGCCCCTGTGCATATGTTTTTTATGGGGTGGTGCTTTCTGTCATTAACTTTATTGAACTGTCAACAAATGGCACTTCATTCTAAGTGTATGTACTGCAGCATGTTGTGATGTGCTGTGGTGCTGTGACTTGTGGTGCAGCGAGTTCTACTGTGTAAAAATGCTGACATGTATAGCAAACTGTCAGGGCTCCCAGGTATGACCAGAGATGTGTGACTGACGCAGGGAAACGCAGACTTCAGATATGGGATAAACAATATAATTTATTAACACTAACAATACAAACACAAAACGCAGTGCAATACTAAACATAATACAGTGCAAACAAACCAAACCAACCACCCACAGATAACAGTACATACAAGCAAGCGTCGTCAGGCAGGCGGGTCAATATCAATTGGGCAGGTAGGTACAGGGGGAGCAAGCGGAGAATGGTCGGGGTCACAGGCCAGGTTCAGCAGGTAGCAAGCAGCGTAGTACAGAGGGTCAAGCAGAGGGATGGTCAGGGTCACAAGCCAGGGATCAGAACAGGTAGCAAGCAGCGTAGTACAGAGGGTCAGCAAAGGAACAGAAACAGGATGCAGGACAGATACAGGGCCCAGGACAAACACACACACAAGGCAGAGTCTGTGGGTCTGGCCATCCCTTAAATACCCCAGCATAATCAGTTCCAGGTGTAGCTGGCTGCAAAGTTGAGTCTCTGATTGCTGGGAGCACCCGCTGGCCAGCCCGGTACTGCAGATCAAAAGGCAGGTGAGTCCCACCATTGCTGGCCAGTCCATTCCTGACAGTACCCCCCCCTCAAGGAGCGGCCTCAGGACGCTCCAAACAGTCCTAGCTGGGAAAAATGTTCCACCGCCCGCCCGGGTCTGGTAACTGGCGGGATATCAAAGACTGGCACACCTGGGCAGGGCAACTGGACTCCGGGCAGCGGTCCACGGGCAGGCAGCGGCAGACATCGGGCTGGACTCCGGGCAGAGGCACATCGGGCAGAGCACATCGGGACACCGGGCAGAGGCACATCGGGCTGGGGCTGGGACATCCCGGGCAGAAGCACATCGGGCAGAGGACACTCCGGGCAGAGGCACATCGGGCTGGACTCTGGGCAGAGGCACATCGGGCAGAGGCACATCGGGCAGGGCACTCGGGCAGAGGCACATCGGGCTGGACTCCGGGCAGAGGCACATCGGGCTGGACTCCGGGCAGAGGGCATCGGGCTGGACTCCGGGCACATCGGGCTGGACTCCGGGCAGAGGCACATCGGGCTGGACTCCGGGCAGAGGCACTGGACTCCGGGCAGAGGCACATCGGGCTGGACTCCGGGCAGGGCACATCCGGGCTGGACTCCGGGCAGAGGCACATCGGGCTGGACTCCGGGCAGAGGCACATCGGGCAGGACTCCGGGGCAGAGGCACATCGGGCTGGACTCCGGGCAGAGGCACATCGGGCTGGACTCCGGGCAGAGGCACATCGGGCTGGACTCCGGGCAGAGGCACATCGGATTACCAGGCGAAGCAGCAGGCAGCGGGTCACCGGGCGGAGAAGCAGGGCACCGGGCCCCGGGCGGAGCAGCAGGCCCGGGCCCCCGGGCGGAGCAGCAGGCACCGGGCCCCCGGGCGGAGCAGCAGGCACCGGGCCCCCGGGCGGAGCAGCAGGCACCGGGCCCCCGGGTTGGGGCGACCGGCACGGGCCCCCAGGCGGAGCGGCGGGCACCGGGCCCCCAGGCGGGGGCGGACCGGCATCGGGCCCCCAGGCGGCGGCCCACCGGGCCCCGGGTGGGGCGACCGGCATCGGGCCCCCAGGCGGGGCGGCGGGCACCGGGCCCCCGGGTGGGGCGACCGGCATCGGGCCCCCAGGCGGAGCGGCGGGCACCGGGCCCCCGGGTGGGGCGACCGGCATCGGGCCCCCAGGCGGAGCGGCGGGCCCCAGGCGCGCCGGGCCCCCAGGAGGGGCGGCGGGTGCCGGGCCCCCAGGAGGGGCGGCGGGCGCCGGGCCCCCAGGAGGGGCGACAGGCATCGGGCCCCCAGGCGGGGCGACAGGCATCGGGCCCCCAGGCGGGGCGACAGGCATCGGGCCCCCAGGCGGGGCGACAGGCATCGGGCCCTCAGGCGGAGCGGCGGGCGCCGGACCCCCAGGTGGAGCGACAGGTCTCGGGCCCTCAGGCGGAGCGGCGGGTGCCGGACCCCCAGGTGGAGCGAACAGGTCTCGGGCCCCCAGGCGGAGCGACAGGTCTCGGGCCCTCAGGCGGAGCGGCGGGTGCCGGACCCCCAGGTGGAGCGACAGGTCTCGGGCCCCCAGGCGGAGCGACAGGTCTTGGGCCCCCAGGCGGAGCGGCGGGCGCCGGATCCCCAGGTGGAGTGACAGGTCTCGGGCCCCCAGGCGGAGCGACAGGTCTCGGAGCCCTCAGGCGGAGCGGCGGGCGCCGGACCCCCAGGTGGAGCGACAGGTCTCGGGCCCCCAGGCGGAGCGACAGGTCTCGGGCCCCCAGGCGGAGCGACAGGTCTCGGGCCCCCAGGCGGAGCGGCGGGCGCCGGACCCCCAGATGGAGCGACAGGTCTCGGGCCCTCAGGCGGAGCGGGCGGGCGCCGGACCCCCAGGTGGAGCGACAGGTCTCGGGCCCTCAGGCGGAGCGGCGGGCGCCGGACCCCCAGGTGGAGCGACAGGTCTTGGCCCTCAGGCGGAGCGGCGGGCGCCGGACCCCAGGTGGAGCGACAGGTCTCGGGCCCCCAGGCGGAGCGACAGGTCTCGGGCCCCCAGGCGGAGCGGCAGGCGCCGGACCCCCAGGTGGAGCGACAGGTCTCGGGCCCTCAGGCAGAGCGGTGGGTGCCGAGTCATCTGGCACGACAGTGGGCTCCGAGTCAACTGGCATGACCGCTGGCACTGGGTCAGACATTGGATCGTCTGGCTGGACAGCGGGCATCGGGTCACCCGGCATCAGGTCATTTGGCTCGACCGCTGGCACCGCATCATCTGGCAAGGCAGTGGGCTCCGAGTCAACTGGTATGACCGCGGGCACTGGGTCAGACATTGAATCGTCTGACTGGACAGCGGGCATCGGGTCACCAGGCATCAGGTCATTTGGCTCAACAGCGGGCACCGCGTCATCTGGCAAGGCAGTGGGCTCCGAGTCAACTGGTATGACCGCGGGCACTGGGTCAGACATTGGATCGTCTGACTGGACAGCGGGCATCGGGTCACCAGGCATCAGGTCATTTGGCTCAACAGCGGGCACCGCGTCATCTGGCAAGGCAGTGGGCTCCGAATCAACAGGCACGACAGTGGGCACCGGGTCATCAGGTACCGGATTGTCTGGCTCGACAGCGGGCACTGGGTCACCAGGCATCAGGTCAGCGGGCACCGCGTCATCTGGCAAGGCAGTGGGCACCGGGTCACCAGGCATTGGATCGTCTGGCTCGACAGCGGGCATCGGGTCACCAGGTATGACAGCGGGCACTGGGTCACCAGGCATCAGGTCATTTGGCTCGCCAGCGGGCACCGCGTCATCTGGCAAGGCAGTGGGCACCGAGTCACCAGGTACGACAGCGGGCTCTGAGTCAATTGGCACGACAGCGAGCACCGGATCAGGTACCGGATCATCTGGATCAACAGCGGGCATCGAGTCAACTGGCCTAATAGGATCATCAGGCTGGATCAGTTCATCATGCTGGGTAGAGGCATCAGGCTGAATGCCGGCGTCCGGCTGAGTAGAGGCTTCAGGCCGAGTAGAGGCTTCAGGCCGAGTAGAGGCTTCAGGCCGAGTAGAGGCTTCAGGCAGGCTGAACCACGGAAGGCAGGTTCACCAGTTTGGATACTGGCAGGATGGTATTGGTTGGAAAGAATTTTCGCTTTTTTCTGGTTTTAACTACTGGAGCACTGCAAGTAAACGCAGGTCTGCAAACGAATGGAGCAGCTGGAGACAGAGAAGAACTGGAGGATGGAACAGGAGAGGGAGCAGTTGCTACAGAGGGGCTTTTTTACAGGGTTAAAGGCAGGATAGGTGCAGCGAGTGGGAACAGGGTACTGACATGCGGTAGATAGCCAAGTATACTGGGCTGTAACTGGAGGAGCTGTTGGGAATACAGGAGAAGAGTTAGAAGCAGGACTGGGTTTTTGTAAGCTGACTGAGGCTGGGTGCAACAAGTCTGTCCATGTCTGCAGTAGGGGTTGAACAAAGCTGAGCTTACACAAAGCCTGTCTGGTCAATGACTGCACTGCGTTTATACAATCTCTTAGTGTCTGTGGTAAACATGTGGAATAACGCTCCAGAAAGTAACCCACATCATCCTCTAATAACCACACCAGGGACTCTACCTGGTCTGCACTAAATGGTGGCAAAAATTCATCCCTGCATTCGGGGGAACCAGATGAAACCAACTCTGCACAAACCTCAATCAAAGGCTGCACCTCAGAGAACTCTGTGCCCTGATCTACTAGAACATGAGCGAGCCGTATACATTCTAGCAGTTCATCCCGGGGATACTCCTTCAGAGTTTGATAAGCATACTCCCTGTCATCAAACACTAGCAGAGATAAATACTCAACGTCATCCAGATCCATCCTTCCCATCAACAAACCAAGATGGCTTCCCTGTGCAGCCACTTCTGGTCAGGATTGGCCTTGGTGTAATGTCAGGGCTCCCAGGTATGACCAGAGATGTGTGACTGACGCAGGGAAACGCAGACTTCAGATATGGGATAAACAATATAATTTATTAACACTAACAATACAAACATAAACGCAGTGCAATACTAAACATAATACAGTGCAAACAAACCAAACCAACCACCCACAGATAACAGTACATACAAGCAAGCGTCGTCAGGCAGGCCGGGTCAATATCAATTGGGCAGGTAGGTACAGGGGGAACAAGCGGAGAATGGTCGGGGTCACAGGCCAGGTTCAGCAGGTAGCAAGCAGCGTAGTACAGAGGGTCAAGCAGAGGGATGGTCAGGGTCACAAGCCAGGGATCAGAACAGGTAGCAAGCAGTGTAGTACAGAGGGTCAGCAAAGGACAGAAACAGGATGCAGGACAGATACAGGGCCCAGGACAAACACACACCAAGGCAGAGTCTGTGGGTCTGGCCATCCCTTAAATACCCCAGCATAATCAGTTCCAGGTGTTAGCTGGCTGCAAAGTTGAGTCTCTGATTGCTGGGAGCACCCGCTGGCCAGCCCCGGTACTGCAGATCAAAAGGCAGGTGAGTCCCACCATTGCTGGCCAGTCCATTCCTGACAGCAACCCTTCTCAAAGCAACTTTTCAGTGTGCACAGTTGTTTTCTATGTGCCCTTGTGTTAAACATACTGATCAGTGCAGCTCAACAGGTTTAAGGTGTACAAGCCTTTACAAAAAATAAAAAAAATACATTCTATTCTCTCCCGGCTTTATCCAAACAAGCAAAAACTTTTGCGGGAGTTCCACTTGCTTATAGCACACAGGTGAAAAATTGTCGCAATTGTAGCCATGTAGCGTTTTTCAGCGTTTTCTGAAAACAGGTGCATTGGGGTCAATTCACTAAAGAATTCCTCATGTGATATGAAGGTCATGTGACTCATTTTCAGAAATATACCATGAGATAATAAGAGTCAATTCATCAAAGTAAAATAGCGAATGCTAGGTAAATACCACAGAAAAACTTAGATAAATCTTTACACATTCATTATTTATCACCTGCTAGTCACTGTTAATATTGACGTCATATTTTGATTTAGTTTTAGCCATAGTCTTTTGACTAAAATGCCATTTTAGTTTTAGTTGTATTTTAGTCATCTGAATTGAAACTGAATTTTATTTTTGTTCAGTTTTCATCACTGAAAACATGCAGCTGATGAAAACTATGCCGAAAATATTTTCAATGAAATTAAGCCCTGGTTCACACTATTGTGATTTTCCAGTGTCTTACAACATTCTGGCTACATGTAAAATCTCAGGTGAAGTGATAAAACACAGATTTTAATGGTGCTGTCTTAACTGGCATGACTTGAGGGGCTGCAATAAAAAAAACTATTTCTTGCACTACTTTTGGGCGATTCTTGAGCTGCCCAACTCCCATAGACTTCAATGTAAAATCGTCAGCAAGCTGTACTTTTTTTTTAATTGGAGCGACTCCCTGGTCATCCTTGCTGCCCAAAAACTTCCTTTCTAAAAACCTTTCTAGCATATTAGCTATAGAACCTTTTTGCTTATGGGAGCTGCACATTTTGGCAGCAAAACACACATCTGTTAACCGAGATTGGGGTGTCATTAACAATTAGCCTGTATTCACACCTGCGTGTTTCCAAATACATGGCAACTTGTGTTTCCGAAACACGCAGCAACGAGTATCACGCATGTGTTACCATTTAGGCAGCATTTTCATCTGAGCATTTGCAGACGCATGCAACCCACACAGAATGTCAAACACCTGCATGCTTTGTAGTTAATTTACAAAACATGCAGCAACACCCACCAAAAATGTGCGTTTGCTCTCACAGTGCCATTTAGGCTGTGTTCGCATCTGTGTTACCATTTAGGTTGCTCTCTCATCTGCGCTTTTTGAACTTGCAGCAACTCGCACTGAGAACAGGTGTTTTGCCATGAGTTTTGAAAATGCACGGCAATGCACAGCTCACTTGCATTACCATTTGTTCACATCTCCGCATTTCTGAACGCATGGCAACCCGCAAGAAAGCGCATGCTTTGTTATACGAAATAAACGCGCGCACTGTGCATGCACTACCATTGCATCTGTGAATTTCCAAACGTTTGGCAACCTGCAAGAAAACGCACACTTTGCCGTGCATTTCAAAAACATACAGTGTGCATCACACTTGCACTTACCATTTCGGCTGTGTTCTCATCTGCATATTTCCTATGTGCTATGAGCTTGTGTTACCGTTTGTTTGCATCTGCATGTTTTCAAACACATGGCAACCTGCAAGAAAATGAATGCTTTGGCATGCTTTTTGAAAATGCGCAGTAACACGCTTTGCGATTGCTTTACCATGCTATGCTGTGTGTTTCAAAAATGCTTGGCAACACATGTTGCACTTTGCATCATTCACATCTGCGTGTTTTCTGAACACACAGCAACCCACAAGAAAATAAACGCATTTCCACACGTTTTGGAAACCTGCATAGAAAATGCGCTTTGCCACACATTTCAGAAACGCGCATTACGCTTGCCATTTAGGGCAATTTAAGTGCAATGCATGTTTTCAGAGCATTTCTGAAATGTGCGGCAAAGCATGTATTTTCTGTGTGGATTGCTGCGAATTGCAGATGTAAATGTAGCCTAATTGTTAATGACACCCCAGTAATGGTTAGCAGAAGTCAAAAACGTGATGCAAACGCGCACTGAAAAAAATGTGACACTCCATGACTGAAAACATTCTAGAGCTACTTTTGGGCATTTGTCACGTGTAGGGCAGCCCATTTAAGTAAATGGGCTGTCTTATGTGCAACGCACCTTTCCGCTTTAAAAATTTGCACAAAAACCCATTCAGGAACACATATTTCCATTACACTCCACCCACACATGTATCACCACGATCACGTGACTTCTGGTACGACAGAGGACATCATGTGATCGTGACGATAACGCGGAGCTGGGCGGCAGGAGCCCTAGAACCTTTACTGCATGTATGTGCATTTTTTAAATTTAATAAATGTGAAAGTTTTTACATATTACACTATGGGGATCCCCTCTTTTGTGTGAGTTTTCGCGGCAGACCAGGAATCGCTATTTTAAAGGGCCACATACATACAAATAGAAGGATCCATTTGAATCATTGAAAGTGAGATTATCGGATGGGAGAGAGTCCATATATGGAAGAGATATTATCTCCAGGAATCTAAATCTAAGGAATTAAGCAATTAGACCTGAAAGACAGCAAGTTGCATAGTGGAGGTGAGCATGGATTTTGAATGGTGGAGGATATTGCACCTACGCATGAGTTTGGAAAAGCACATGGAT